GGTATTCGTGGCGGCCTAAAACGCTGTAATTTTTTTATTTTAATTCGCACTCCAGCAGTCCGTCCTTCATGTTTGCATGTTTTATTACATACAAGATATTTTTATTTCATATACGAACGCGAGAAGAATCCTCTAAACACACGATCATAGTTTCTCAAGACCCAGAAGCAGTATAGACGGTGTGTTCACGGATGCTCACGCTTCGCATTATACCGACGTATCAGGGAAACTATGAGTTTCTTCTTCATCGTTCCCTCACTGCTGATGATCGCGACCACATGTGACTTTCCTCCATAGTATTCTGTCATGGATGGGGTAGACCGCATGGTATAGACTACCACCACCCTCTTTCTTAACCAGATCTGACCATCTGGCTGGTGTTCTGCCCACGGCACGCTTCCTCTTCGTCTGACCCAAAAATATGAGCTTCTCTAATTCATGTCTGGGAGACCGCATGATGCGTCCGAAGAAACTCATAACACGTCCTGCCACATTGTAGCATCCACCCAGGGCAGAGTCTTTTTGGATGTTTAGCTCTATTAAAATGGACCCGTTGGTACTCATAATAGCCCATGATATTCGAAGCATCCTCCGCCAAACCCACATTACAAAGGTGGTCATCGATCTTTTTGCTATGGCGGTTTTTCATGCGCCATTTTTCCATATCACCATATGGGTTTACTCTACCGAATTAAATTATCTTAACACTACCGCGAGCCCAATGATACAGTTCAAAACGCGCAAGTCTTCTTGGCAACAGAGGCGATTTCGCAACGATGTGGTTGTTGTCTAGGAACGACATCCACTCGTAACGTCGGGGGGCCGCAAGACCGCCGAGCGAGGTTATAGGAAGCCTGCCGACGCCCGCGTCTTTATCCAATTTGATTCCATTATGATTTATTGGTTCTTCCAAGTAATCATCTATGACCTAGACCTAACGAGTCCAGTTTAAAGATCAAGCCCTTTACTTAATTTGATAGCATTCGATTAACGAAACGATTAACAAAATGGATAAAAAATACTATTTTGTACTTTTACGGCAAAAATATAATAGATATTTAAATCCTTGATATACGTTTAAATCCGAATATCAAAATAAAATTTTCTGTTTATAATTTTAGCTTAGAAAATTACACATGGGTAGATGAGCTCACCACAATCAGTCCACTGGCCAAAGTGGTTAGAGGAACCGATACGTCAAGTCGTGGATTTCGCCACTCTTCCTGTGAGGTGAAGTGAAAACCTTCATAGCATTATGGCGATATTGAGTGAAACGCATCAATATGCAGAAATTGTGGTAAACACACGTGCGGTCTACTATTTTACAACCACATGGCCCTTGAGATATAACTTTTATAATATTTTTTTTTTTGTTTTTTGGCTCGTAAAGAGTTATTGTTTCCGTCCTTTTTTCCTACCGATGCTGATAGCCTTTAGAGTTCAGCTTCGCCCTAACGTATAGATGAGCTCACGGGCACTCAAACTGGGAGTTTGCTAACACTGGCCCTAGCAAGAGCAGTGCTTCGTGAATCTACCACCGGATCAGAAACGCGACCCACTGAGAAGATCCGGTGAGAAACTGCTGTGTCTATGGGTTATTCCGTCCCAATGGACACAATATTACACCGAACGCGCGAACGAAATACATTCGTTTGATTTCCCAATAAACGACGAAAATAGACTTTCATATTAAGAGGGGGTTCGACTGATTCTCAAAATCTCAAAACACATCACATCAGCTTATTAAACTTCGAGCGTATTTGATATGTAACAATAAATTAGATAAGTAGATTACGTGACTGTTTTCTAGGGCACAAGGAAATAAAGGGTTCTTGTTCTGCATTGATAGCGTCCACTAACGTGTCTGTCTTGGGGACACATCATAAGCGATATAAGTTCGAATAGTGGCGGTTACTTGACAAAGATAAAGAGGAATTCTTAGATGCAAGACACACATGAAGGTCACCCTACAGATCAAAACTTAAAAGCTTTTTTTTATGATTGAAGGATTACTGGTGGCCCGGAGGCCTTTCCAGTTTCACCAGGACAGGTGGGCGAGCAAAGGCTCAGCCAGGAGGAGTGGGATTTGCTAACAGCTACCCAAGCGCCTCCAAAGGAGACCTAACAGCTCAAGAGCAGCTGCTTCGCGAATGAATCTACTACCGGATCGGAATCGCGACTTGCTGTTAAGATCCGGCGAGAAACTCAGCGAGCTGATTCATGGGTCAGGTTGCACGGCGAACTCTTTGTCGAGTTCGACGAGTACGGTTACCGGGGTCCCTAAGCCTGCTCCTAGTTTTAGAGCTGAAGGCGTCAACTTAAAAGCTGCGAAGGGCGCTGCTATATTGGGTTCGGAAGCGTTTCCTTTACAATATGGCTTCTATACAGAAATAAAAAGTGTGGATTACTTCGTACATCTTTTACACGTAACAGAATTAAAGCATTTATGGGGTATTTTGACAATTTACGATTAAACAGGCGATGATAATGAAAGACAAATACAAATTTTACGTAATCGAATTACAGATTTCAAATAAAATATTAAATGTAAAGTGGTATTTTCTTCGGTTTTCACGAGTCATAAGTTCATAGGCAATAATTAAAACTGATATTACGGTTTAACGATGAACAGGGCGGGAGTTAGCTTTTTTTATTGCCTAGATGTGTGGACGAGCTCATAGCCCACCTGGTGTTAAGTGGTTACTGGAGCCCATAGACATCTACAATGTAAATGCGCTATCCACTTTGAGATATAAGTTCCAAGGTCTCAAGTATAGTTACAACGGCTGCCCCACCCTTCAAACCGAAACGCATTACTGCTTCACGGCAGAAATAGGGAAAGTGGTGGTACCAAACCGCGCGGACTCACAAGAGGTCCTACCACCATGTCGATATCAATGAATAACAGCCTTAGCCGTCCGTGAAACCACGAAAGTACACGAAACATCGGTAACAATAATAAAATGCAAATATGTAGTAACTGCGAAGTATTTGACGCACATTTTCAAGACAAAAGCTTTTGTGGAGGCCGTCAATGGTTAAATCCGCTACACGTGTAGACACGAGATTTTATCTATTTATCCTCTTTTTGTATTCGACAATGAAAATACTACAATTATGTAGAACAATTAAAACAATACGTCATTTTCGCATTGTTGGTAAGGTTTTACTGGCAGGAACAGTGTTCTCTGACCGGACTCATCCCTATTTCTGGCACGAAAGTATCATGTATTTTGATTCTAATACAAATCTAATACAATACAAACCTATCATGTCGCTGTTGCTCTATTTCTTCTTATATATCTAGCTCTATCTATATATCTACAAATCGATTATTTCAATTCAACAATATCGACGGTTTTTGAATCGAAATAACGTTTCCGCGACAACATATAAAAATTAAAAATAGTGTTTGTATTTTTGTCTATGTGTGCGTTCTTGGGATATTCATTAGATTATTATGAAACTTAGTAAAGTTATTATTTGCAATCCAGGGTAGGTTTTTTCTCTTTACTATCAACGTACGACGGTTGCGCGATGATTGCTATTCCTAAACACTACAGATTTTAATAGTGTTTTTCTTCGCAAATAACAGTTTAATAAGTTATATAATTATATAATAAGTTTAATAAGGATTCTCGAATTTATATCGAAATCAAATGGCTGTACTTTTTTTTGAAAGCGCAAAGTTAAGCACGATTGCTTTGTTTCAAACCGGTAAAAATAACTTTCAGCTTGATTAACTTATATAACTATTTATAAGTTACGATATGAGAGTACCGAATCATCGATTTTTCGAGAATCTTATGTGAGAATATCGAATGTCAATCTCTGTGCCTTCATTAATCTTTTTCTGTGGTGCGTTTTTCAAGATACTTTACAAATAAACAAGTTTTGATGACAATCTCATTGCAATGATGGGATTCCTCCAGTTTTTGAGCAACAAAGGTTCATTTCACCTTAGGGTCTTTATCAGGAATTTTTACATAACAATATTTACTATAATTAAATTATGAAATTTTAATGTATTTTATTTAATTTAAAGCACTGGTGATATTTAGCTGATTAACAGTTTCTTTTTTAATATTATTTTTAGTAATAGAATAGAGACAATTCCACAATGATATAAATAATATAGTTATATATAAGGAAGGAAGGATTTATTATTTTCCTTAACTGCTATTAAAATAGATTTTTGTGTATTTATTTAAATAGAGTGGTAATTTTAATATTTCTAAAAAAAAATCATTACAGGATAAAATGCATCTATGCTTAGGAATCTCAATTAGGAATTTTGATAGAACCAGAATACTAATGATCGCACATTACTTTTTGAAAAAACTTATCACAACCTTTACCATGTAGAGTGTACTGACTACATTACACTCTACTGTGGAAAGTACTGCAGTAATACCATAAATTCCAAGAGTTAAGGACAAATAATCATAAGATGCATGAGACTACAACATGCTCCATTTTTATTTATTGCCCTAGTAGACAGCGTACGGCCCACCTGATGGTGTGTGGTTACCGTCGACCATGGACTTCAGCAATGCCAGGAGTAGAGCTAAGCTGCGGCCTACCGTTAAAGCAAGAGAAGGAACAGAAACAGAGTCTCATAAGTATGAAGAGTAAAACATAGTACATGCATGGCAACTTATACTATTAGCTTATCATTGAATCCAGGTTATTGAAATGTGAAAGAAAAATAGTTAATATGACACAATTTGATCAAGATAAATTTAAAGTAAAATAAAATTATTTTTATGCATTAATGCATTAATTTTTATGCATTTTAATACTAAATTAGATGTAATCACTATAATCAGTATAAATAAATAAACAATATTAATAAAATTAATTCAAATGAAATATTTTATAATTCATTATAAAATTATAATAAAATTTATATTTATAATTAAATTTCTAATTAACATTAAATAATTTTAGTTCACAGAATTTGCCATGAGTCAACCAGCATTAAAACTTGATAAACTTACCTGAAATCGAGTAGCCGACGGCTGATCTTTAAACCGCGAAGGTTTCTCCACATCTCTAAAACTACTTTTCGTTAATGAACATTTAGGAGACACCAACTCTAGGTTCGCAGAATCAAGCAATTTGTTCTTCTCACACGGCTCCCTAGTATTAAAATGTAGTCCTGCCTCAACATCATCAGATCGCAAAGGACTCTCTGAGGGATACTGAATATTCCCGTTTGTTGCTGCCATAGACTTGGCTGAGCTTATCTTTCGAAATCTACCAATTATCACATCTTCTTCATCGTGTACCTGGGTGTTCAGCTTATCTGCGGGCAGGGACTTTGCTTCACCTCGAACCGGACTCAATTCTATATCTTTCTGCGAGGAACCCATTTTCACGATCTTATATTTTATTTCTTGCAGATTTTAAACACATAACTATTTAATTTTGAAAAAAAAAACTAGTTCGAAAAAATTTAACAGATATTCAAAATATTTATAGATGTTTTACATGTTAAATAAGTAGAGGTTTCCTTTAATATTTACAAAAATGTAGTTATTAAAATTCAAATAGAGCGCGCGTCTGCTGCCACGGTAACCTAGTGATTGACAAAGAGTAAGTACGGTACTAGGTATAAAACATGTTTAAAAACACTACGGTACATGACATATTGTGATTGACATTCGGACATGACGTTTAACAGCACACAATCAGACTTGTAGAGGTAGGAAAATTGCCTTATTCCAATAACGCATATAACGAGCTATGAAAATTAGTTCTTATTAAATTTCGTTTTTGTGGATTTTCCCGTTTTGTAATAAACACGTTAAAAAATCAATCGATATACATATTCGGTGCTTTAATGTTTTGATTTTATAAGCTTCCTGATATTCTTTCCCAAGTTTTACAATATTTTTTTACCATTTTAAGGCCTGGTAATTAAACCTTTAAGCGGTTTATGTCTCTAAAGTTTTATTTTATTCTTTTATTCTTAAGATATGAAAAATGATATGAATTGAAATGAGATGAAATTAATTAATTTGAGACTTTAATTAATTGGGATGAAATGAAATGAAGCGAGATGAAATAAAATTTTAGTATAATGGTAATATTTACTGAATCTTTTTCAGGGGGCTTGTGGTGAATGGTTTTTTCACACACAGACTAGCAACGGGAGACATCCCTAAGAAAAAAGCCAGGCTGTCAGATTGAGGGATAAAATGTCATGATACAAAATTGTGTTTTACGTTTTTAAAAGGTTCAAAGATAAAAAACTAATTGATTGTTAATTTATACGATTTTAAGGTACGTGTGGAATAAATAAGTGCTTCCTATACTGCAGTTTGAGTTCAATCCACAACGACGACAGTTGACAACATATTTCCTAAAGGCTTAATAGAAAAATCCGACTTTCACAGATGCTAAACAGTTAATAAATCACAGTTATTTATTAAATATTTAAACCTGAGCAAATACTAAATTAACAAATTAAAATAATTCACAAAACTTCGCTGCTCGCGTTCCCGCCAAAGGGTTCCGAGTTTCGTAGACTATGCGGTACGCTTTTCCCACAAAGAATTTACGGCTCATAGATTTTACGCAACCGTGAAATGTCAATTGTTGTCAATGTCATTGTCAGTTTTGCTAATTGGCGAAGTGGAGTGTGCGGTATTTTATGTGCAAAATTAATTAGTAATTTGAAAACGTATTAAAACATAATGGGTTTCAGTGATGGACGTATAATTTTAAATAGTGAAAATGGCGTTTATTACCCTGGTCAGAGACTTTGCGGCCGATTAGAATTTGATCAGGAAACTGTTAAAACATTCCGCGGTAAGACCTTGAGACTTAGACCGCCCCAAAATATTTGAAACTTAAAGAATTAATACAGAAAATTCATGGATACGCATGATATAAGAGTGACTTCAATGCCCGTAAAAATATCATTTTTCGTTTTTAAGATCTGTTATCGGTATCTTTGAAATATGTTCATTTTTTTAATATTAAAATACATATACTTCGATAATGGCTTAACAGCGGGTGTTCCCTGTGCTCGTTTGCTATTGACATTAATACAGATAAATGCACGCAGTATGTTTTTGTGTAATAATATCAACCTTTTTACCTTTTAATACCAATACTTTAACCTTATCAACCTTTTAATACCAATACTTTTTAAATAAAATCGCACATTTTGAAAAAAAAACTAGGAGTTAACAAAAAATTACATTTACCTCTAAAATAATAAAAAAAATACTTCTGTAGGGAACATACAAAATTTGATAAAATACACTATTAAGATTGAGTGGAATGTTAATGACCACTCCCGAATAAAAAGTATGGCATTGATGAAAACCAAACTTAATTCAGCGAAGCACAACAACTTCTATTGGTCTGATCAGAACTGGTCAGAAGTTCCTAGTCTGCTTCTATAGTTTCAATTGTTTTTTTTTTGTAATTTAAACTCCTAAATATGAAAGCTCAATATAAATATTTTGCTAAGCCCTAGTGGCTTAGTCATAGTATTCTCTATCTAGTGACTCCTGCCTCCCAGGGGATAAATATAAATAATCTGCTAAGTACCATAAATACTTGAAATTAACTAAATATACTTGAAGTTAACAAATAATTTATTAAGACATTCCAATTAGATAATAGAAGATATTCCAATTAATGTTTTTCCTTTGATACAATTTCTATTTGTGTTTCTTTTGTTGTAATTTTTTTTAAATTGCTTTACATATTTAGTTAAGTAAAATAGTTAAAATTCATATTTATATGTCTAAAGAACAACAAAATTTGATTGTTAGCATAATATTAAAATATGATGAACAACATCAGTCTTCTGTGATAATGAAAATAATATAGTTTTAAAAATTACAGAAATAATAAAAGGAAATAACTAATATGGAATTAGATCATAAAAGTAGATTTAATCTTGTGTATGATTTGCTAAAACTGAAGAAAGTACAACACACATCTGCTTTATTTTATATGCTATGTTTGATAGTCAGTAGTGTGAGAAGGAGGCCCTCTAAAATGACTTGGATGGCTGGAGAAAGAGAATGAGTGAGAAGGGTTTGAGTGCAGAGAAGACACATGAAAGGCGTGAAGTAAAAAGAGGGCATGCTGCCCTGACCCCCCATATAGTGGGATTAGGGTAACATGAAGATGATGTTTGATAGTTGAAAATCACATTTAAAAAAAGTGCAATGGTGGTGAACATTATAAAACTGTACTGATACGAAAAAAATTGATAAAAGACTATTCTGAATAGAATCATATTAAGATTAATATAAATTATAAGCTCCGACCAAGTGTAATTGTAATCTGAAGAATGATGTAGAAAGAATGAGAACTAACTAACTACCTATAAAGTAACAAAAACTAACTGACTATATATGGGGTTAATATTCTAATTATATAATTAAAGGCATACATAGAAGGGCTCTGATCTCCTTATACAGCACTAAAATTGAAGATCAAATCATAAATATTTTAGTGCCTCAATTCAGAAACAAAATCATTTGTAGGCGGTGTAAAATTTTAAATTATTTCCACAATAACGTAGTAAACATATACTAAAAAACCTATCAATGCTGTCAACTCTTACTACATAATTTCTTTGGAGGAATAAGTTATGGGTACTAGGTAACATTTATTAGTACTGTAAAAACGGAGGCCTTAACACGTTGAGAGCCAAGCTTAAAAACCGTGTTTTTTGATATTCAGACTTTGCATTTTTTTTGCCTAATTCGTATTCTAATACTATTTTAATAAAATATGTATGAAATAAATGCATGCTTTGCCAAGATTTTCCACTAATTTTCACGTGTGCCTAAAAGACACACAGGGCCCCTGATAAAGTTTTTGAAAAAATCTTTTTCATGGGCCATGTGTATCCTTTTGGAAACACCATCTTTTTTTGGTTTTCTGTAACTTTCTTCAATATTTTCCTTTGTTTTAATTCGGTTTAAAAATAATAAAGAGGAGAGGAAGAAAAAAGAAACTACAGAAAAAAAGGAGGGTCAAAAAATCCTAAAGAAATAAAAAAAGACGGTTTTTTGACCCTTTTTCCTGTTTGTTTCAGGATAAAAGTGTAAAGTGAAAAAAAAAGTGTATAAGCAGATAAAACAAGACTAGAGTACAGTGTAAAAGACTATAATAAAACAGTGAAAAACAACTTCTAAAAGAAAGAAAAAAATCCACGTCGTTTATTCAAAATGGATTATTCAAGCGATGATTCTGTAGCAGATCCAGACTTTGCCTGGAATCTCAATCTGATTTATCTGATTCACCGGATAACTCGATAACTCACAAAGAACTCGTACAAACCGAACGATCGTGAAGCCTAAATGCATCGTAGACTATAACACGGGAAAGTCCAGCATAGATCTGAGTGACCAGATGGCGTCATACAGCTCCGCCTTGAGGCGTTGTACAAAATGGTATCGGAAGTTATTTTTTGAGGTGTTGTGAGGTACGAGCATCGTCAATGCTCACTACTCCAAATACTCCAAAAAAGAAGCACAAAGTAACTGAGTTTATAGAGGAAGTAATCAAAGGAATGATTCGCTAATACGCAGCAGTTCAAGAAGGTCCATCGACATCAAAACCTCGCCCAGCGTCAAACAAGCGTCACAGGCGTGTGTGGAATGTAAAGGAGAACCCTCGTAAAAAACGTAAAGGACGGTGCTTAGAATGTTATAAAATATATTATGGAAGAAAAGGGAAAACTGTAGATGGAAAAGTCAAATTTACAAAACAAACTAGCAAAATTTGCTCTGTGTGCAAATTTTTATTGTGTGAAGAGTGCTTTGAGAAATTCCATTTATTTTTTTCTGTCATTTCAGACTAAATTTGTTATTTTTTTGTTGATTTTGCATGCAAGACGATTATACAAAAACCAAATAAAGGTCATAAAAAAAAGTGTTTTATTTTTAGACATAACTTTTGATCAAAACGTCGTACAAAAAACCCACTCACACCGAAATAACCGTGGAGGCCAGAGGTATTAGAATTCATAGTAAAATGTATTGAAATGTGTTTCCTGGCGGACACACTGGCCTACGAATAAAGTACTGCTTGTGTTTCCTAAAGGAAACACGCGGCCCCTAAAGGTGGTACTTTGTGTTTCCAGAAAGATACACATGGCGCTCAACGTGTTAAATCTCCAATCTCAAGGCGGGTGGCAGCGGCATTTACACTGTAGATACCTATGGGTTTCAGTAACCACTTAACACCAGGTGGGCCGTGAGCTCGTCCACCCATCTAAACAATAAAGTAAAAAATATTGTGCGTATGTCATAATTTAATAAAAAAGGCAAATTGAAAAAAATATAAATAATTATTTAAAAGTGGTATCACAGGGCTGCATTGGTCTGTTTTATCACCTCCCTAATTAATACGCAAAGCTCAAGCCTTACAGTTTGAAGTGTAGGATACCAATGTACAATGACTTTAGCCTCCTGTGAATTCATTCACATTGTATTTATTAACCACAAGCTTAATCAATTCACGCCAGGTACACTTGCCGAAAAACGTACAATACTCGATCCAAAAAAAAAATTCAGAATTCATCCAATGGTTGAGGCGTTCCCGATAGTAACAAAAGTCAAGGCCACACCGCGCCCAGACTTGAAAAAATAAACAATCTATTAAAATAAGCCTCAATAAAACTACAACCTTGACTTTGTACCATCCACATGGGCTAAACTACATACAAACGTTTTTAATTGGTCGAGCCGCGACCAATTAAACACGTTTTACAAATATAGAGACGTGCCTTTTGTTTGAATGGCGTGGTCGATTTTTGTTACAGTTGAAAAAGAAGCTTACGACCATAAACAGTATAATCTCATTAATTCAATTGACATTGCCCATCTAATGGATGTACTTAGACGTAAATACAATGCTAATATTTCTAGCTTCCAAATATACCTCATAAGGTGTGTTACTAAGAACTGATTATGACTGAGTAGGAGCTGATGGATCATTAGAAAGAATGGTCTAAATGTAGCTTGTAGCGATAACTATCATAGAACCCGAAATATATTATGACAGGTGCCTGAATTGTACTTACGATATTTTGAACATAAATTTGTTTAAAAAGCAATGTAATACATTTTAAACTAAAATTAATAGTTATTAGTATGTTCACGGCTTAATTACAGCTATACATCGGCGAGATATGTCCGTTTTTGACATTCCACAAGAGAGTTAAAGTTCCATTCTTCTAAGAAAACGCCGTCTCTTAAGTTACGATACTATCGTTTTGAATTCTTTTCCTTTAATTCTGTTTATTTTTGTCGTGTCAGAAAAATAATGTTTTTCAATTGTTTAACTGTCCAACTTGCAATTCAAGTCGGGCCTTCCCTGCCACTTTTTTCTATCAAACGGCTTCGGCTTGTGCGTGCCAAGAATCCTAGAGTTGTTTTTACCAAAATACAGTTACTTAGCTCATCAGATTATTTAAAAGGATTTTATAGATCTATTATTGCTTCTCTTGTAGATTTATCACAACTTTTTCATTTTTTTTATTGCTTAGACGGGTGGACGAGCTCACAGCCCACCTGGTGTTAAGAGGTTACTGGAGCCCATAGACATCCACAACGTAAATGCGCCACCCACCTTGAGATATAAGTTCTAAGGTTTGAGTATAGTTACAACGGCTGCCCCACCCTTCAAACCGAAACGCATTACTGCGGAAATAGGCAGGGTGGTGGTACCTACCCGCGCGGACTCACAAGAGGTCCTACCACCAGTATAAATTGACTACGGTCGCGTTCGTTTCCGTTTTAAAACACATAGGCTCTTGTAATATGCGGAGGCGAACGGTTTACCCAATTTTACCCCATTACCTATATAAAAGTCTCATTTGTATTGTGTGCACCCCTTACTAGCAGTAAAAGCGACATTGGATATGTATCAATAACATACGAAAAAGCGGATAAGAACTGCCACAATTTGGACTCAGCAGTACCTACCGGGGAAAAAATAGTCTAGCAATAGTCGAAAAGTATTATACATTTGACAATCTATCTAGACATATTTTTATGAATAAAATGCGCTCAGTAATGCACGCGATCGCTACCTTAAGATACTTAATTAAAAAATGTAGCCTGAATATTAAGGAATGTGTGCATGCTTTTAATAGCTGCAGTAACAATAGTGTCCGCCAGATAATCGTCTGCCAGCGTAAAAAAACGTGCGCAAACCAGTGCATGTGTCACAAGAGAATCTATTTTGAATTCGAAAAAAATCTCATACAATCTTGCAGGTATATACGTAAAAATTAAGGGCTTCTGTAAGATACATTGGACAACTCAGCACAGCAGACGCGAGGGGGACCGCGACGTTCATTACACAGTCACACACGAGTCTTACGAGGAATACATCAGGCAGAAGATATACCTCGCTGGAAGTGACAGCGGTAAGAGTAATAACCGATAGCAAACCTTTAGTTTTATTTCCGTGTTCAGTTTCTGAACGTCAAAATGTCAGAGCGAGCGACGTCCGCCATGACACCAAGTCTCTTTCAAATCCAGCCGCCAAAAGCAACGCATCAATTTTATATTTCACTTATATTAAATCTTTAATTTGTTATATAAGAGTAAAATAAATATCGTTAAACAAAAAATACAGTCCGCGCTCAGTTACCAAAACGCAACACTTCGGTTACTATCATCGTGGTAGAATATGTGATACACACTAATTTCAAAGTCCACTAATAAGTTTTGTGTCCAAATTGATACGGCGATTTTTGCATGATGATCAAAGCAGCAAATATACATGATGATGCATATCTACAGATAGAAACAACAGCGGAACAAATCGATAATTTGAAATTTTAAATACCTTATGATTACAGTTACATGTAAATATATTTCATAATGGACTTAACGGGTCTTGTACTTTGAATCGCATTAAAGATTTCTTAATTCGCGGTACATAAGTCTTTTAGGTTTTCACGCCTCATACAACAAATGTCTATTGAACAACGCAGACTCGCGTAAATCGATCTTCGTCATTATTTCTCTGCGAATAGAGTCTACATTATTGGTTATGTACCTTGCACGGAAGGCGGACTTCTACAACATAACAAAACCTTCAGTCAAAAACTACACATCGTAATCCTTATACGCCAATCCGCAATTCCAACAGTTTCCGAAGAAAAAAGATCTTCGAAAGGAATCTTCAGTCTTAATCTTCCTTTGATTGCTTATAGCTGAAGTCTGCCGATAAGGAAACACAAAAAGCGTTTGTATTTTTTTGTATAAAACGGCATTTTTACACTTTTATAACAAAAGTATAATCAATAAATAAATATAGAGGTAATGTATTTTAGGCGATCATCATTTACAACCGGGTCACCACGTGTTCTCCTTCGAATGTCCGATCCCTGTCAACTGTCCCTCATCGTTCGAGGACTCCGATGGCCATATTCGGTACCAAATCAAGATAGTTGTGGACCGAGCTTTTAAGTTGGACCAAGAGAAGATGGCTTTGTTCAGGATTGTAGCTCCCGTTGACTTGAATTTAATTCCTTCCGTCCGTGTAAGTACTAGAGACATGTTGGTCAATGTAATCCAAGAGAAGTGTGTGTAACAATGTAGTGTAACAGCCGTCACCCTTTACACGGAAAGTGAGAATGGTTCGGGGCAGAAATAGCCAGGATGATTATAACCTCACTCACCTCCTTCTCACAATATCACAAATGTTACAGTAAAATTTTTCCTTTTAGATAAAATATTAGTAAATCCTCCTTGAGATGATCCCCTCACGTGGTTCTAACCATGGCACCGCCCGCCGCCACAACAGAGTTCATCTACACTGTCTAGAACCACTGTGTTGATGGACGGTGCGTTTGAAGGTGTCTTTTTACTGGCTTTAGGATGAACGGTGCTTCCTGATCGCTATGACATGTGAAATGAGGTCTGCGGAGAGTGCTCAACGATAGGCAGCAACTTGGCTGTGCCTCTGGGATTACTGATATTCGTGAACGATGGTTACTACACATCATTAAGTGAGCCGCATGCTCGGCTGTCAACAAAAATGCCTACAAGCTACCGTTACCCATGCTGTCAAAAGATTGATATTTTAAAATATTGTTCTGTTCATATCTAAGAATGGAACTAAACGAAAATTTTTGACCCATGATCAGTACGGCAACTGTAGCTGTTTCTGAGTGAGGTAAAGGGGCGTTACTTTTTAAAAGTATGCAATTAGATTTCGGTCTCATGTCTTAAGGCAGATGATAATATTCAGCCTGTATTGCTCATGTGTCTTATTACGTTTTGGTATCAAAGTTTATAATGACTAAATCGCGAGCTTCAAAAGTCCCAAAAGTATTTAAGAGCCTGGCAGCACGATACGTTTCTTCGTACTCTGTAATATCCAATGTTCCACTATAGATAAGGCCATAGCTTGTTACTAAAGCACAAGACTTTTCAGGAGCCAATAGCTTTCGACTTTCAACAAAGCTTTTGCTGTTGGTGCGTCAGTTCAGGCTCCGCAACGACCCTGGTCAAGTTGCCAGTTTCAGGATTCTGCCCTGGGCAGATGATGCCCATCGAAGTCAGCTGTACCAATAACAGCAATGTGGAAATTGAGGAGATCGTTTTTATGCTCACAAGGGTTAGTAGTATCTCTGAAAATCAGTTTATGTCTAAATTCAAAATTGACTTTTGTAAATAATGACCAATTTTATATGTGTACTTATTATATCTATAGATCTAATATCTGCTCCTAGACAAATGAGTACCAAATTATTATATATTGGGCGCAAATCGCTGACCCAAAGATGAAGTATTTAGGGCCCTACCCACTAAACGACTCCCCCACACTCTGGCCCAAGCGTACGGTCTCTCCCATGGTCAGAACCCGGGCAGGGTAAGGTGGCTACCGCGGTCAGCATTGCAACCAGACGCGCGGCTAACTCCAAGGACGCCCGACCGATGGAGCTTTCGAGGCGAAACATCTGGAACGTCAGGCGTGTCGGTATGGCCCGTCAGGCCGCCCAGGTGTTACCGATAGTGTCCCGGGAAACCACGCTAGCTCGAAACCTACCTGCGGACGTAATGTTTTCGCAGTATACGTCATATACGAATTTCGTTCGAGACTAAACTTCGCCTGTCAACGTGACCCCAACTATAACTATGACAAATAAATTTCAGGAGACGACCTTCAGAGCTGAAATGGAGCCGGACTCCCGCCACCGGGAAGAGGACATCGCTGAATTAAAGAAGGGCCCGGTGCCCGGGAACAGCTCGAGGAATTGGGTCGTTGAGATGTTGGTGCCCACGATAGACGTACCTAACTTGGATAGCTGTCGGTTCATCGATATCAATTATAAATTTAAGGTGAGTACTTTTCAATACACACCACGATAGGATCTTAAAGATGGGTCCAGCGTATACGACCTGTACCAGTATTCTTTCATAACCTTATTAATTAATAGGAGTGCCTAAATTTTGCTTTCCTTCAAGACCCTCATCTTCTTCTTCTTTATCTCCATCTTATCCCAGTAGGTGGGGTCGGCACAGTGATTTTTTTATTCCATTCTCTTCTATCAGCCATCATCTCAACACTCCCTTCTTTTTCTCTCATATCGTCATTTACACACTCCATCCTTTCGACATCACATTCACATCGACCTTTTTTTTTCCCCTTTACCTTGCACTACTATTTCCCTACATCTCCTAGTCACATCGCGTCTCATCTCACTCATCACATCCCTTCAAGACCCTCATAGCCATCGCAAAACCAACCGGTCCGTATAGAATACATTTGTAGGCTCAAACCATATGCCTCAAGGCAGATTGTGGCGTTTCACTCATCCACTCACCATTAACCAGGTTGGCCGCGAACGCTCCCATCAGCACCATCACAGCAATAAAAAAAATGATTTTATAGCCTATCCAACCCAGGCATTACTGTTTTCAATGATGATTGACGTTACTGACGTTTTTAAAGCTACTTTAATACAATCAAGATTTAAGTTTCAAATACCGCCCCACCACCATCAGTTTCAGGATCATAGACGGTCTGAGACACGTATAAGTGGAGGATCCTCTGATCTCAACTTAGGATTTTCTAATCCCTTGAAATAGTAACCTAATTTAACTCAGAACAAGGCAATGTTGTGCCAGCCGGCGATTGAAACACTCAGGACCAAGAAGCACATAGGGCTTCTAAGGCTTGCTGACCTTTGGACTGAGAACACTGTCTATCTGATTCCATTGTTTTTCTTTCGAATGTATTAAATACAATATCCACCATAAAGTATACTACGTTTTCCAGGTCAACATCACAGTTCCAAGCTGCCATGAGGATGAGTCAGATTTGTGCTATATCACCATCGGAACTATACCACTAGTTGGCTTCCAAGATGATGTAGGGAATCCCTTACAAGACCAGTTACCTAAAATCCAAGATATACCTCAAAATACTTGTTACCCACCACCTCCTGTTACGACCCAACCTTTACCCAACTCGTACCCGAATGTACCTCAGTATCCGGGTAACAATGCTCAATATCCTGGTGCAAATCAACCCTACCCCGGTGCAATTCAACCTTACCCCGGTGCTAATCAGCCTTACCCTGGTGCCAATCAACCATACCCTGGTGCTAACCAACCTTACCCAGCTTCCAACCAGCCCTACCCTAACAACGTACCGTACCCCAACGCCAACATGCCAGCATCACAGCCAGCTCCAAACGTGCCGTACCCAAATAGTTCCCCGTACCCAGGGAGTGAAGGACCAAAGTTCACCGTGCCCACAGCTGGGACGACGTTGTTGAAGGCTGGTGATTTTGGTTTCACTGGTCACGCCGGCCCGGCGCCCGACCCGGTCACCATCCCGCTGCTGCCGCAGGGAGCCAACGTGCCTTATGTAAGCCGATCGTTAACTCACACCATTTATACTAATCTAATATGTAAAATTCTCGTGTCACAGTTTTCGTTGCCATACTCCTCCGAAACGGCTTGACCGATTTTGATGAAATTTTTTGTGCTTATCCGGTATCTATGAGAATCGGCCAACATCTATTTTTCATCCCCCTAAATGTTAGGGGTAGTCCAACCCTAAATTTTTTTTTTTAATTTTTAGACAAAATTTTTAATTTCTATTTTTTTATGATACAACATACAAAAATACATACAATCCTCAATTTTCACCCCTCTACGATCAACCCTTATTTTTTATTTGCTAATTAAAAACTTTAAATTTTTTTGCGAGAATTTTGTTTTTATTTTGTCATGACGTAGAATAAAAAAATTCATATTACTCTGAAATTTTCATCCCTCGACGATCAACCCCTATTTTTTATTTGTTAATTACAAACTTTAATTTTTTTGGCAAGATTTTCATTTTTATTTTTATTTTGTCATGAATTAAAATAAAAAATCTGATATTACTCTCAAATTTTCATCCCTCTATGATCAATCCCTATTTTTAATTTGTTAATTATAAACTTTAATTTTTTTGGCAAGTTTTTTATTTTGTTTTGTACTTAAAATAAAAAAAATCATATTACTCTCAATTTTCACTCTTACACGATCAACCCCTATTTTTCCATCCCGATTAATATTTTTTTTATTCTATGCACAGATCTGCAATAAGGTTGCAAGATGGCAATCAAATATTATAATTGTAGTAGAATAAATTCTTATTCAGAGTTTATAATTTCAAGTTCCTTTAATTATGATTTTTTTAAATTGAATTTGATCTCCCGCCCTCGCCGGTCGACTACTGATCAACTATCAATCGATCAGCTATCCCCACCAGGTGTCACCACTCATCCAGCAAACATCACGTAGTAGGGATGAGGACGAAGCCGGTCTCCTGTCTAACTTACTATACATCATAGATTATACACTTAATATATTTGAGAGCTATACAATACTATACATTTTTCAGCCATGTTTTGTTGGTTTTATTTGTGTATCAATAGTATGTTCAGTAGGTCTGAGAATCGGCTACTATCTATTTTTCATACCCCTAAGTGAAAAGGGTTGTCCACCCCAAACATTTATTTTTTATTTAAATTTTTTGGATATTTTTTTTTTTGTTTATAATGAGGTATTATATGGTTAAATGAGGTTTTTTTTTCTACAGTAGAATTTCCCTAGAAATCTAATTTGAGGCAACATAACGTTTGCCGGGTCAGCTAGTAATATTATAAAACTGAAGAGTTTGTTTGTTTGAACGCGCTAATCTCAGGAACTACTGGTCCGATTTGAAAAATTCTTTCAGTGTTAGATAAGCCCATTTATTGATGAACGCTATAGGCTATATAACATCACGGTAAGACCAATACAAGTGCAGCACCAATAAAGAATGTTTCAAAATAGGGGTTTAAATGGCTCCTTAACATTCTATAATACAAAAACTATTTTCACTTTCTACGTAAAAGAAGTGGGGGGTAAAATTTAGCGTTATGCCATATGCCATTAACGTTTGGTGTTCTTTCTGAGCATCGAGAACTATGAACGTGATGGTATTACAGATTTCTGAACATCATATCGAGCAAGATCGAGGGATTCCTACTTAATAATAGCCTTTGTAGCAGGCACTTAGGAAATACACAGAAAAAATTGTAAAATAGAATAAGATATCAATGTTTTACGTTTTTAAGTTATTAACATAGATTACAAGTACTTAATACTAACTGTTTAATATATTGAATTGTCATCGGTCTTTGATAAGTACGCTTAATTTCGAGTTAATCCGACCTTTTGAAAGGAGTCAAAATCACGTTCAAATGTTTCAAAGATTTCTTTACTAACATGCGTAATTAGCTCCAATTAAAGCCTATTAGAAATAACAATTTGCTTCCAGCCGAGACCGGCCAGCCCGTACTCCGCGGCCACGGCGCCTGAACCCGCCACGCCGGACTGCGAACCGAGTAAGTTATCCATTTTAAATTCACCACAGTCACTATTGCACTTGTTCAATAAGTGCTTTCATCATCATCACCTCAGCCTAGAGTTCATCCATTCAACCTGTAGCCACTGCGGTCATCTACAGTGTGTTTCCGTGAGGTCTTTTTTGCCGCGTACCATCCGCTATGGAATGAGCTCCCTCCACGGTGTTTCCCGAGCGCTATGACATGTCCTTCTTCAAACGAGGCTTATGGAGAATACTTAACGGTAGGCAGCGGCTTGGCTCTGCCCCTGGCATTGCTGAAGTCCATGGACGACGGTAACCACTTACCATCAGGTGGGCCGTATGCTCGTCTGCCTACAAGGGCAATAAAAAAAATCCTGTCCACTGCTGAACATAGGCCTCTCTGACTGATATCCAGCGCGGCCGGTCCAATGCCACCTGCATCCAAACGTGACCCAGCGATTCTCACCAGGTCCCATCTGGTAGGTGGCCGTCCCACTCTGCGCTTGCCAGTACGTGGTCTCCGCTCGAGGATCTTTCCGTCCCATCGGCCGTCCGATCTTCAAAGTCCTTTATGTATTGCTATATCTATATGTCGTTAACTCAATAGTGTTCAAAGCCCAGTTAGTTTCTCGCCGGATCTTCTCAGTGGGTCGCGTTTCTGAACCGGTCGTCGTGTTTAATGTGTCGGCATCCGTAAAGGTATTGAAATGATTATCAGAACCGAACTCTTGCAGGTCCGGCCTACAACCCGAACTACCGCGAGAAAGATTCGACAAACAAACAAAACTGAATACGTCCACACGACAACACACCTCACCGCTATTAGTTTAAGATATAATTTAGCATATTACATTATGTAATAATAAAAGGTCGCTGCCGAATTAATTTAATTAAAATCGGTTCCGACGAAATTTTAATCGTGACGATTTTTTTGTCGGTAGTACTTGTAATAATCCGCAGAAGTCTTATTTGCGTGTTGTGAGAACAGTGGCGGTGTAATACAACAGCACATTTTAAAATGATAATATTTCGTATTTATATTAAGGACAATTACGACAACTCAATGTATCCGATTTCTCGATATAAGTTTATAAATGGCTCTTAATCGCGAGATCACGGATTCGATACTATATATACACACTTTGTGTACATTCATTTTGAAAATCACGTATAAGGCTTCGCAAAATGCAAAAGCAATAAATCGATGTATTGACAATACATACACAGATACTCGATGCTACCGATTACGTAAAATATATCGTCACGATTAAAATGAATTTTACCATTATTTTTTTTTACTTTTTAAAAGTATTTTTATTTTTATATACATGTGTGTTAACAGAATTATATTGGTAATAGAAACGTTGACGTTTTAAGATGATATTATTGAATGAAATTTGAAAATGAATGTGTTTCACATGTTCCGGTGCCATGTTAGAACTACCTCAGATTATAAATCGCGCAATTTTTATAAATGACTTTTTACTACGCACACTCCTATATTTTTTATTGTAACTTTTTACATCACGTATTTTTCGAATATTAAATTTATTTTTAAACTGTTTTAAATTTATATAGATTAAGTAAATTTTTTTTTAAATTACAACTATTTACACAATTATACATACGGTTTAATAAAGAGATAAAATCCAATAAACGAATCTTACGAGTCTGTTAGCAAGTTCTGACTATAGCGACATCTATTGACCGCGGCTAAAACAACTCAACCGTTCTTTCTAGAAAGGTTTCTAAAAGTCAAATTTTCAACAAAAACATTCAACCAGGGGTGTCAAAGCTAGTAGATTACACAGAATAATAATAAAATGTTTATTAAAACATCGTGGATCAATACGATCGTCGAGCAACTGTGACGGGGAGAAGTTGTCTCATGTCAATTGCCTCAACTCTACTGAATCGAATTCAAGGAAATCGATACAGGTTTTTGGAAAACAAATACAGTAATCCCAATCCCCCTTACAACACAGTACTCTTATATCGCATGTTCATATTACGCGATTTCAGTCCCTCGTATAACACTGGTATTCCCCTATATAACGCGGATGTGTTCCATACGCCGTCCCTAGCTATTGTTTCTCCATCGAGATAAAGTTCAATAAACAAAGACGTATCTTAACGCTTTTGTTTATTGAAGTGTTCTGCCGAACAACTATAGGACGACCGTGGTGGTGGGCGATACTCACGCTTGCTCATCGATGCTAATTTTGAGTGTGTCGCTCGTCACTGCGACCCCGGTGCAGCCAAAACTCACAGACGATCACACGAAAATACCACTAGCAAAAATTGTAATATGCGTAATTACTGGTCGGTTGATGTCTATGGACTCCGGTGGTCACTTAATACCAGGTGGGTCGCGAACAAGTCCACTTATCCACACATCTTAGCAATATGAAAAAAAACATTTATTTTTACTTATTGATTGCATTTAGTGTTTAGTAAGACTTAAAACTCAGTGAGAACATGGCCTAACTTAAATACATACTATTGTAACTATAGTCGGATTTTTAATTAGACGAAGCCAGCTGACAGTAGCTAATGTCACATTGTGAAATAATGTTGCTATATTTAAAGTAATAGTGATGCGTACAGTTCTCGTTCAATCACATGAATGAACAATGAGTGTGAAGAGATAATCATTAATTTCAAACTAGAAAAGAATATTATTTATATTTTACAATAAAATTGTATTAAAGTGTGTAAGTGTACAATCAGTTTTATATTTTCATTACCTACCTATAATTGTAATATTTTATACATCTATAGTTTCAACTATATGATGTATTGGAAATAGGACAGTCTTACAAGCTTCCTCGCAATGTTTTTCTTAATATTTAAAACACTCGGTATTCAGTACAGGTAGATACTATAGGAACATAATATTTCGTCAAAAACTCGTTGGTATATACAAAGCACGCCTAAAATTCGAACCACGTACCCGATATCGGCAATTCGGCACACCAACTATTCACTAGACAATCGAGGCAATTTCATTAATTGAGGAGTTTTTTTAATCGTTCACTTTGTCACAACACTATTTTTATTTCATCAAAAACTGACAACACAGTAAACGTCAGTTGACTTCGTCTAATAAAAAATCCGACTATATAATATTATTATAACCTTTAAGTTATTTGAAAAGTTGTACAACTATCTTAAACTTAAAATAGTAACAAAAGTACAAAATAAATTTTATATAATACATTTAAATATACAAATATTTTTACATAATTTTAAGAAAACTTAAGTAATTCTTAAACGACTTAACAAGTTCCAAATTGTGTTCAAGAGTGCCTCTGGAATGTTTGGAATGGCCCAGATGAATTTTAAAGACAGAAATATAGTCTGTATTACTTGGGGATAGTGTAGACATTTCATTGTATACAAAAATTACTATCCATTAGTTGCAACCATCGCTTATTATGTAAAAAACAAAATATATATCTGCTTGTTATAATTGTGTAAGTTAAGTACATGATATGTATTTGAAAATTAATATTTGTAATTAAGGAATGTTTTAATCTGCATAATACTTAAATATATTATTATTGGCCAATTACTTAGTAATTGGTTGTTTAACTTAGAGAAAAATGTTGTGATGTGAATTTTGTGGTCGCTATGTAACTAGAACTTCATTGAAGATAGTCAAGCCTTAAATGATAAAAATATTTGTTAGAGCTATATTCTAATTTTACCAGAGTTCAATTAAAAAAAAAAAAGAACATAAAATCTTGATCTTCATTCCTGCTGTATATTTTCAAGTATCTTACAGTGTGCTTAGTTCGAGTTTTTTAACGTTCTCTATAGCGTAAAAGTCAACTCGAATTTGTATAGAGTTGGAACAGCGCCCCTAGCGGAAAACTTGGGTAAACGTTCCAACTCCATACAAATTTGAGTTAACTTTTACGCTATCGAGAACGTTAAAAACTCGAACTAAGCACCCAGTTGCACACAGTTGACAAGATTTTCGAAACGTTTATGAGTTTGAGGTGACTTTGATATTATTAATGTTTTAAAAGTCTTAAAATATTTTTTTTATTGAAGTGAAACTTCCTTATCGGCGTTGGAAAAAAATTTACCGTCACATTTTTCGGTTACGCGTCACTTTTTTCCGTTACGCGCCATCTGTTTTGTATTCATGTCTATGATAATAAAATCCTTTTGTTTAAACTTTATCTAATTTAACTTTTTTGTATTCATGTCTATGATAATAAAATCCTTTTGTTTAAACTTTATCTAATTTAACTTTTTTGTATTCATGTCTATGATAATAAAATCCTTTTGTTTAAACTTTATCTAATTTAACTTTATTTAACCAATTTCTAGAAAGTTGCATGTAGATCATTTTTCGAAAAATAAGGCCATAAACAAGTTTCACTTCTTACGTGTGTACACTAGTACACGCACACATTTTTTTTTTTTTATTTGTAATACTTGTCGAGTAAACAAAATATTAAGAAAATGCATTTATAATTAATCATTAAACTAACAATGGTTTATTTAACATTTGTATACGTTAAATAATAGTTTACATATTTCTTCTTAAAGAAATCAATGTTACTGGCAGCTTTTTATACTTGTAAAGGGTATAATAATATGGAAATCGCATCCGAAGCCTGTGGAGAGTACTTAACGGTAAGCAGCGACTTGGCTTTGCCCCTGGCATTGCTAAAGTCCATGGGCCACGGTAACCACATACCATCAGGTGGGCCGCCCTATACTGTATTTAAAGGTCAAATTCGTTTATCAAGAGCCAGGAGCGTAACAGTTTTTCGTTATTTCGCTACGTGACGATTTCTATCGTAAAACCCTTACTACGCAAACCGCGTTATGTAACGTGCCAAACCATTTCAAATGCAGAGGAGACAAAGGTTTTTTCTTTGTGATATTTATACATTGATAACCATAGGTCTGATAAAAATATTTTAGGAATATACATATTAATATAAATTTTTTTTTATTGCCTTTGTAGGCAGACGAGCATACGGCCCACCTGATGGTGAGTGGCTACCGTCGCCCATGGACCTCAGCAATGCCAAGGGCCGAGCCAAGCCGCTGCCTACCGCTTAATACTCTCCACAAGCCTCGTTTTCCTCCAATTTAATGTCGGGCTCACTTCCTTGTCGTGTCAGTAATCGTTTTCGGGAGATAACTAAATTTCAATGAAATGTTACCATTGTTTACTCTAATGCGATTTTACTCGTATAAATAAATACACAAAACTTTTAACAAAACCTTTTTATTATTATATGATACTTATTGTATTGATTCTGTGGTATTTTTGCGCAATGGATGTGTCGCTGATGTGCCTATTTTTTAAAAATTGTTATTGATAACCTCATCTTACCTCAAATTTGAACGTATATTTAATTATTAAGAAAGAATTAATTAATTGATATTTTATAGAGCGCTTTTTTTGAAATGCTAAATGATACAACACATATAAAGTGTTAAAAAATTTTAGTATGTTACTTGTATTAAATGCTGACATATAGATATATTGTATTATAATATTGTAATAAAACTAAAATATGTCGTATGTAACAAAAATCTTGTTCGGTCCGATACTTAGCAATGTTATCAAGAAATATAAACCATATTTGGTAATAAAATATTATAGAGATTAACTGCCCTCAACTAATCAAGAAGTTTCAACTCAATGAACATAGAAAAAGAAAAATAATAAACGCTTCAAGATGCAACGCGTAAACAATTTCAAAATGATGCTTTGTTTTATCGAATCAGTTTTCAAGTTCAGTTTAAATAATTTTCAAAACTGCTATCGTAATATTAAAGCTTAAGGAATAAAATCATCGGCCACTACAAAAAACAGTATATTCGAAACTTTGTAATGGTAAAATGCATACCTACACTGAATACGGGAATTAGTCGTGTTTTAAACAAGTCTATACTTCGAATGATGGCGAAAACTTCTAGAAAATAAATACAGGGTTCCCATATTGGTAGCATTTTAATAGAAATTTAATAACGGAATTTTAATAGAATTTTAATTATGATATAAGTTTAACGTTTCCGTGCCTTCTGGATGGAACAGGACTTTTGTTACACCTACATTTTTGTTTTAGTGATTACCGAATCGATTTGATTATCAATAAAAAGAGAACAAAATTTAAGACTTTTATTTCAAACGTAATTTTTGTACCAAATTATGAATCTGATCGAGTCGGATTATTCTGTCAATGACTTTATAGTGTATCTGTGGAACAAATAACGATTTAATCTAGAAAATTCCAGAAATTATAAGAAATACAGTTGGGAATGAGTATCATTGTCTTCCACAATGTGTATTCGAATGTAATCCCATAGTACGATAAGGATTACAAATTATAAATTCACTGAATTTTTAATTATGTTTTAACTGAATGACGATCCATTATTTAATTTCCTATTCTTTTTATTCATCTTATGGTGATCTAATGGATAAGACGTTTGCCATTTTGTACTACATATTGTGTACTAAAAAGAACCGAAACCTTGCACGGTTACCAATGATTAACGAGTTCGCGTGATTTAGTCTATGCCGGCTCACTGAATTTTACCCCCTTTTTTATTTTCGATTTCTTTTTTTTATTTGTTCATCGTTTGTTCGTTAATGTTCGAATGTAAAAATTGTTTGTTCGTCTTTTATTTATTTAGATTTAATTAAACAAATGATCACCCTTAAGTTGGTCCCTCTTACTAGATATCTTTATGTTTATCGCTCAGATTAATTAATTTTGATCAACCATCGTTTGTTCGACGACTATTGGTGATTGTTCGATCATAAAAACAATTAAATTCCCAATTATTAATTAATAATAAAAAATAAAAAAACTGAATATCAAAAAAAGGGGGCCAAATTCAGTGAGCCGTCTATGCCGCCACTGCCTATTTCAATCGAGAAGCTACCAATATACCAAGTTAGTTAATATCACGCTAAGGTCTGAGGCCATATCCGTGATACAAAATCGATAGGATCTGTGCGCTTAGTGCGAGCTTTTTAACGTTTTCGATAGCGTAGAAGTTAGCTCATATTTGTATGGAATGGGATCGTTTGCGTACGTTTGCCGCTAGGGGCGCTGTTCCAACTGCATACGAAATTGGGTTAAGTTTTACGCTATCGAGAACGTTAAAAAACTCGCACTAAGCACACTGCTGACCGATGAACCGCCGCTCGGCAACCCATCTAGACTATAAATCTAATATAAAAAATCAATGAACACAGCACATCCTAGAGCAGATTCGGAGCGAGCCAGAAATTCTACTGTGAAGGTAAGATAAAACTTTTTTATGAACATCAAGTTACAATTTTTTTGTTGCTTTGATGGCTGGACGAGCTCACAGCCTACCTGGTGTTAAGTGGTCACGGCAGAAATAGGCGGGGTGGTGGTACCTACCCGTGCGGACTCGTAAGAGATCCTACCACCAGTAAAGTCTCTCTTGAAGTTTTTTTTTATGATTGAAAGATTACTGGTAGCCCGAAGGCCTTCCCAGTTTCACCAGGACAGGTGGGCGAGCAAAAGCTC